GCCGATCCGATACGTATCTCGATACAAAGAATACGATCCGATATATTAGCGATACATTTGTGACATATTGCGATGCAACACGATACGATTTACACCCATATCACGATACGATGCGATATTTCAGCACTAACTAATTAGATCAAGTTTATGAGATGATGTGAAAGAGGATGCTGTGCCATTGAATGAGTTTGATTATTTATTAACCAAGCAAAACCAAGACTTTTTTTTACAAACTGGCTTTTCTCTCAGAGCCAGAGTGTCAGTTTACAGTAGAGGGCCATTTTAGAACATATAGCACATATTATTTAAGTATTTTCAAGATAAACAGAATGTGTAAGTGCAATATATATTATAAATGTATATATTTGCACTCTTTCAACATAAATAAATTTAGCATTGCACAACAAGAATTGTGATTTAACTTTTCAACTATGAAAACAAGTTTTACAAAGATATATTTTGCCACTGATTATTCAAAACTTAAGGTTGTGAACTAGCAGTGTTATGCTGCGTTGAAACATCACTGTCACTGTAAACAACAGGCTAATAAAAATATAACAAACCAGCAATCTTCTTGCTGTGAGGTGGTCAAACTACCCACTGTGCCACCGTGACACCCAATTATTTTTATCATTATTATTATTAATATTATTACTATTATAATTAAATAAAAATTAACAGGAGGAGGTGTTTAAAACCTTCGTTCTCCGTGACACTAGGCTGAATATCTTTGCAGATGAACAATGCAGTAACATCCGTTATTGGCGTAGAGCGAGCAGAACTGTTGCGCATGGAAAAAAAACTTGCAATGCTTTTCTCACCACTTTTGGAGCTGGTGGCTACAGTTGAAGCAGTGCGAAAGCCGGGGATGCAGAAACACTGGAAGATGCTTTCACAACAACACCGTGGCGCCGCTTCAAGTGAGATTTCAGATTAGTCATACTGCCCGCGTATTTTACAGATGCGCGGCACATTTTGCAAATTGCATCTGTCCTGTCATGTCGTCCATCCTTAAATCCATAATGTTGCTTGCCATACTTTGGATTTAAAACTCAGTGAGGAATAAAATGTTTGTTTTGCTTCTCGCGCTTTCTGAGGGCGCTCCACTAGCTTCATCCGCACACCTGATACACTGAGTTGTAGTGTGTGCACATCCGCAAATCCGTTGCTAAGGCTTACTTTATGTAGGTCGATTAAATTATGCGCCAAAAACAGGTTAACAACACTTGTTAATAAATAAAAAATACATTCTATATTAAAAATATAAGCTGTATCTCGGAAAAACCGATGCATCTCGCAAAAACCGATGCATCTCGATTTGCTTCCAAAATTTCATTCATCCTCTGCTGCTCAACCGATGCACTCGCATCGTGCACGCGCATGACCGCGTATCGATACATATCGGTTAATCTTCCCATCCCTAATATATATATATATATATATATATATATATATATATATATATATATATATATAT